GGTCCTCACGGCGGCGGCCGAAATCTCAGATTGGGTTCCTTGGCGTTTTCGGCTTCCGAAGAGTTCTTGGCCCAACTCGTTTGCGGTCCACGGATTATCGGCCCAGCACTTCGGATCCATCCTTCGCATTCGCGGCCAGTAGCGAATAAATCAAAAATCCGGTTTGTAGCAAGATTCGAACCCGGGTCACACGCATACACAACCCACGCCTTATCAATCCATCTAGCAAGCCTCATGTTATATTTCTTCCCGATTTAATTCAAATATCGTATTTTCGGACCAGTTTTGGAATTTTGAGAATTTTAGCCCAAAAATCAGTTTTTCAAATTTTAAAGTTTCATTTTCAACCCAAAGCTTTGACTTTTAATTTTTGACTTCCTAAAATTGACTTTTGACCCTAAAATTTACTTTGACTTTCAAGTTTGACCTTTGAATTTAAACTATGACTTTCTCGTTTAACCTTCAAATTTTCACTTTAAGTTTTTCAGTTTGACCTTTTAAGTTTGACTTTTTAAATTTTACTTTTAAGGTTGACTTTCGAGGTTTCAAGTCAAAGGACATTTTTGGTACACAATGACTTTTGTAAACATCCCGGTCAATGAAGTTTCATGCTCTCAATCTTGTGAAACTACGATAAATTTCTTCGTGAACAAATCGATTTATTAAAAAGAGAAAATGAGGACCTTAAGTATGAAGGCTATACCCTTAGGAAAGGTCAAAAACCCTTAAAAGCACAACTAGACGACAAAATCAAGGACTTTAGAACACTTCAAGAAGAATATAGCAACAAATGTGCGAATTATAGATATGTTAAGGAACAACTTGCTAACTTCACTACCGAACTTGATGCATTAAAAGCTAAATATAAAGATGTTGAATTCAACTTTAAGAAATTTGATGTGTCAAGTGAGGTTGTTGCATCCATGATTGAAAAACAATTAACTTTTAAAGATAATCAAAACAAGGGTCAAGGGTATCATAGTGTGCCACCTCCTTTCAATAACAACTATAACCCACCCCTTGAGACCAACGAGGAAGAGACACCGACTCAGTGTGGCCAAATCCCTGTACCAGCTTCAATTAGGACTGAACAATCTGGGCCAACTACGGGTGTTGAGATGAAACATTTTAATGTTTCCACTTCCTGTGCAGGTAAAGTAGTGGAAGAAGAGAACAAGGAGAACATAATTAATTATAGTTCTGTTAATTCTACTGACTATCAAACCAATGTCTCCTTGAACTCTGAATCTGTTTCTTCTAACTCAGTTACTTCTGACAAACCTGCTATTGGCAAGTACAGGCCACCAAAACAAGTGAAACAGACGGCCTTCTGCAAGTGTGCTTGTGGGAACAATCAGAGACAAGGCATGGGAACGCCACCAGGGGCAGGAAGAAATAAATCCCACGTGAAGAAAAACACATGTTTTCACTGTGGAACACCTGGACACATTGCCAGAAATTGTCCAAATCGCGCATACGTTCCTTACTATGCACAAGCCTGGCAGAACGCACAAAGAGGGAGCTTTTCCAGAAGAAACCCTTCGAGGCCACGTCTAAACAATGGTGACTGGAATGCACAGAAGGCCAAGAATCAAAATCCCAAAGTCAAGAAGGGAATGCCGGCCAAGAAGTCCAGTCCAGAAGATGCTCCAGTGAAACCAAGATCAGTTAGATCAAATTCATCTCGAAGATTGGCTTCAAGTTCAAAATCAAGTGTCGAGGCACCCATTCGCTCGAACAAGAAATGGGTTAAACCCGACTACAGATGCGTTCCGAAGGTTCACTCTCTAAAATCTTCTAATGACTCTAACATTTCTTCGCTTTCTGTATGTGATAAGCAGGATATGTCATGGGAGAGAGTAGCCTGCATGGATGAAAATGGTCAACCCAGTTTCAAAATGGACTGGGTTCCGAAGTCCAACTAATCTCGCACTCTGTGCTGGAGTAGCTATGAAGGAATATCATCAGACTTCTGTTTGTTGATAGTGGCTGTTCCAAGCACATGATAAGGGACATCTCTCAACTGTACAACACTCAGAACTTAGTTTGAGAGTATGTGTCCTTTGCGGGAAAGGAAGAAAATAAGAGGATCACAAATGGGGTTTGTGCTTAATGATGTGAAGAATTTTTGGATCTGTTCCGAGATTGAAACACAACTAAGGTTAAATGCGTTGCTGCTTGCGTCTTCAATTGCTGACTTTCGGTTTGAATTCTTTCGATGCTCCTAAGTTTTTCTTAATATGATTCGTTTCAATCAGATTTTTTTTTAATTTTGCGCATTTATTTTATTTCTTCCCTATGCTCAATTTATGGGGGAGAAATAAAAATACAAAAAAATAAAAAAGAAAAAAAAATTAATTAAAAAAAATTATTAAAAAATTTAAAAATATATGTGTTTTTCCTTTGTAGGTATTATTTGGGAAATGATATGAGATTTAGTGATAAAATGATAATTAAGTTGCTTGACAACTTTGATCCCAAAAGTTTTTGTATTTTTACTTTTGTTTTTGTTAAATTTGTTCATATTTTCTTATATGCACAAATTTAGGGGGAGAATTAAAAAAAACAAAACAAAAATTAAAAATTTCCAAAATACAAAAATATGTGTTATTTCTTTTTCTGAAAATTCAAAAATTTAAAAAAAATTGTTTTTGAGCGTATTTTTCTATTATTTTTAATTCTTAGTGTGCTAAGTTTACTTTTATTTTTTATTTTTTATGTTTATCTCAAAATTTTCGTTTGTCTTGAAAAGTGAATTCAGGAGAAGATGAGACTCAAGGAGAATGTATCGAAATATTCTGAGCAAGGAGAAGAAACCTGAAAATGGGAAAGGAATTGACGGTCATTTCACTTCACACTACTTTCACAAGGAATTGACGGAAAATTCAAATGCGAGTGATAAACTCTTCCATATTGAGACGTATACCAGTCTTAATAGGAGTCTTCACATCAAATGTTAATGATCAAAGGTCATTTTCACCATGACCAATGTGAAACACCCAACGATTCTTCACCCATATCTATAATTTTTTCCATCAAATCATTTCCACGTACCGGTACCCCTTGAGGTTCGAGTATAAAACAACTCGGTTGACTGTTGCCAAAAAGTCTGTGTTTATGATCTTAGATATCGTTGTCACCATGACTCTAAGTGAAACCCAAAATCTAAAACCATTTAATTCTGAATTGACGGTGAACATTTTTAATGTTCTAGATTTCACCCATGATTGGACGGATAATGGCTCATACCTGGTGTGACATTGTACAAAATGCCAGTCAGGCAGTTTCTTTTTAAGAACTGTCGTATCTAAGGAATTGAAAGTCCGAAACTGTACAAATTGTCATATTGGTCTTGTCAGCTTTCTTTACCTAAGAACTGTCACGACACCAGGGTGATTCAACCAACAGAGAAACAGGTATCGCTGAACGTCTCGCCAAGGGCCAAGTTAACTCGTTAACTTGATAACTGTATCGAGATCTATGATCAAGGACATACAGGGGCTAACATCAAAACTAGCCACGAGTAGTTCTACGATACTCAACAAATCGCAGTGCGTTCCTCTAAGTTCACACAGATACTGCGAGAAGTCTCTTTCTGAGCCAAGGATTCATCCTTGAACAACTGTGGCGAGAAGGGTCTTTATGATTCTTTATGTGATCTACAGGGACTTTTTAGTCATTTGTTACTTCCATGGCACAACGGTGATCATTCAAGAACATTTATTCAAAGGAACTAGAAGTGAAGATCATTTTTCAACATACAATTTTTTTAACCCCATAAGCAAGGTGAAGCTGACTTGAAGATTATGTGACAAATTGCATTGGAACCTCCTCAATCAATTTGCTGCTATCTATGAACCTGCTGAAGTGATCCAGAAGATTCGTTCTCTGTTATTCACTCTGAAGATTCTCCAGCTGAAAGTGCTGATTTTCAAGAATCTTTTCAAGAAGCCTCCACACCCAACGTGCGTTCAAAGTCAAATTTTGAAGAACTGCCCAACTATTCAAGATGAATTCACTAACTTAGAAGATTCAGTTGTTTATCTTGAAGTTGTGAAGAAATAGAAGACAAATAGTTGAAGCCAAGCTCGAAATGAAGATTTACAAGAAAATCCAGCTACATTTTTAGGGGGAGTTTGTTGGGTCAAAGACAAGAAAGCTATAAACCAAGGGGGAGATTGTTGGGTCAAAAATATGGTTTATACTTTGCTTTTCTAAGCATTTATTGTTTTTAGTCTTGGGCCAAAAATAATATTTTGTTTATTTGTAGCTTGGACCGAAAACCCATGTGTTTTCGGTCTAGCATTGGGTTTGGGCCTTGAGTTTGCGGTCCATATATATATATATATATATATATATATATATATATATATATATATATATATATATATATATATATATATATATATATATATATATATATTATATATATATATATATATATATATATATATATATATATATATATATATATATATATATGATGGCGCGCCCCTCAGAACGGGCCAGAAGCAAGCGAACCCCGACGAGGCGCTTGCAACGAGAAGTCGGGATAGTGACTCGACCGCCTCGGCGACCCAAAACTCCCGCGACGCGATCGCGCAAGAGGTCCGCCCTCGCCAAATATTGTCTTTCAGCTACAATTCAAAGATAACAACTTCAGGCGACAAAGAGCACGGTCAGAGCATTATCGCCAGGACCAATCGTTGGACTAAACACAAACGTGGAGCATGGCCCTCCAATAAGAGTGGCGAATCCTGTCGGGACCACAGTCCCTGTCCCTCGTACAGACCGAGGAAGATCTTCAGTATAAAAGGCCGATCACTCTGCCTTGAGGGTTAAGTCATTGATCTCTGATCATTTACCTTCATAGTCCATACCCACCTCACTAACTTGACCGTCGGAGCGTCTTTCCGGGACCTCCTCCCGGAGAGCGGCCGACACTCTTTCTTTCTTAGCGACCTCCCAGGTTCTATTCCGACGACCATCTCACGACAGTGTTAGGTGGTTCGGAACCAGGTCACATCATTTGGCGCCATCCGTTTGTGTGAGAATAGATACACAAACCCCTTCTCTTTTCTTTGGTCTTTCAAATTAACCACGCATGACGAACAAGACGACAAGTGAGCCATCGGAACCACCACACAACCCGATACACTCGATGACGTCGTTGGAAGCAGGAAACACCCCAACAACGCCATCTTTCGGTGGCCTACCACCTTCTCTTGACGTAGCACCATCCCCCGGCGGCCCGCCATCACCCCTTGAAGCAGTACCATTATCCGGCGGCCTGCCACCCTCTCTTGAACCGGCACCCTCATCTGGTGGCCTACCACCATCTCTTGTGACAACAAAACATCCGATGGTCCGCCGCCATATCCTGTGACGGCACTACCACTAGGTGGTCCAACACCCCAACCCCCATTCCCAAACAGCGATGTGTTTAACCAATACACAATACCCACTTTACCGCCCTTTTTCCCCAACACCATCAATCCTTAGAATCTTCAAACAAGACCCATGACGCCTTTCGTAAGCAGCTCACATGCGAGCAACGTTGTAGCCAGCCTAAACGTTACACCATAACCGCAGAGCCACCCATCCTTAACGATGGGCACCATATCAACATCACCACTCGCGCTTTACTAGCACATACCCATGGCCCAACAACAAATACCCATGACCCATCAGCAGATACCCATGGCCCAACAGACGATACCCATGGCCCAACAACAAATAACCATGACCCAACAACAAATACCCATGGCCCAACAGCAAATTTCCATGTGTCATACCTTCCCCACCCCATTTTAGCCGTCAAACTTCTACGACCCAGTAACGCCGGAACTTACAGCCTATAACAACATGTTAGTATAACCCTTCTTGGCAATGCAGCAGCCTGGGTATCACTTCAATCAACGAACCCCAACCCAAGATTGCCTAACACGAAGTGTTACATCGCCATTCGTCAAATAGCTCCTGGAATATGAAATTCCTAACACCGCTAAACTACCCTACCTTAAAACATACGATGACACTACCGACCTAGACAGCCACATCGATACATATGAATGGACCATGACGTCCCTCAAGCTAGATGAACGATTCTGGTGCACATACTTCCCCACCACCTTAGATGGCAACGCAGGAACATGGTTCAAGACACTATGCCCGGGAAGCATCAGCAACTTCGGTTAACTGAAGTACCTTTTCCTAACTAACTTCATGCAACTCCAGAGATACAAAGGCGATTGCCATTCGATCATCGGGTGCAAGCAGCGAGAGGGGGAGACAGTCAAGGACTATTTTGCCAGATTCACTAAAACAACGCTAGACGTCCCTGGGCATGATGAAGGTCTAATCGCGGGGGCATTCACCTGGGGACTGTTACTAGGATCACTATCCCAGAAGCTCATGGGCAAGCAACCTCAGACAAGGGCAGAACTAAAAGTGCGAGTGGAGCGATTCCTACGCCAGGAGGAAGGTGAAGCGTCGAAACAGGCATACCTCAACGCCATGACAGCCTCCGCTGGAAGGCGAAGCCACCACCCTACCCCCCACCACGACCCTCGGGGGGGGGGGGGGCAGCAGATTAATGGGGCGAGACAGACGATCTCCAGGATGCTTTAGACCTTTCGAAAGGCGGGGAAGACGAGCAGAAGTTATGTGGTAGACGAGAAACCAACAGCAAAAGGAGCCAAAATACGATATTGTGAGTACCACAAAAGCAGGACGCGTGACACACTCAATTATGCAGTTCTAAAAAGGGAAATTGAAGAAAAAAAACTAAAAGGCAACGTCATAGAAATTGCCAAGAGGTTACGGGCTAAGTTCGACGCAGAAAACCCCAAAGACACCACCGGAAGGACAGACCGTAAATTGGAAATATTGACGATACACCACAATAGGGGAGAGCGGAACGCATGGAGAGCTCACGGAGCATCAAAGAGGCAATCCAGGGGCTGACATTCTCCGTACACGACCCAAGCCCGGCTGGTTGGAGTGGAGAGAACCCTCTCGTCATTCAAGGATCCAACTGGGATGTTGTTGTTCACCGAGTATATGTCGACACTGGAAGTTCCGCAGACATCATTTACGAGCACTGTTTCCGACGGCTACCCAACGCCTGGAGGGAAGGACAGAGACCAGCTACGGGCCGCCTCACAGGCTTTACTGGCCACAGTCTGTGGCCCTTAGGTATGATCCACTTACCATTTACACTGATCAGCCAAGACAAATATAGGCGACGAACTGCTTTGGTAGATTTCATAGTCATATGACACCCATCTGAGCATAACATCATATTGGGACGGACGACCCTAATGAAATTCGGAGCAGTCCCATCAACAATCCACTAGATAGTCAAATTCAGCACAACCCAGGGATCGGGAACGATTTTAGCCACGCCCCCAAGGAAGCTCAGGTGCTACGAGATCATGCAACCAAAGGACATCTCAGCCGAAGCCAAGAGACCAAGACCGGATTTGTCGGACGGGGGAGAAGTAATCAACCGGGAATACCCAGACCAGCGGGTGATCATGGAAACAACCCTTCCCACAGAGACAAGATGAGTGCTGGTCCCGCTCCTACAAAAGTATAAGCATGTATTCGCTTGGATGCCCACATACATGGTTGGAGTCGACCGAGGAATCATAGAACACAAGCTGATGATAAAACCAGGGACTAAGGAGATAAAGCAGAAGAAACGGGTCCAAGGGGGGGGGGACCGAAACAAGGCGATCAACACAGAGGTAGCCAAATTAACCAGCGCCGAAATCCTCAGAGAAGCAATTTTCCCTACATGGATCGCTAATTTGGTAATGGTAAAAAAGCACGACGGTAGCTGGCGTATGTGCATCAATTACTCAGATCTCAACAAGGCATGCCCCAAAGACTGCTACCAGTTACCAGAAATAGATCAGAAAGTAGAGTTCTTACAAGGATTCTAGTGGAAATGCTTCCTAGACGCATACAAGGGGTATCATCAAATCTTGATGAGCAAAAACAACGAAGAGAAGACAACATTCTACACTGATCACGGTACCTTATGCTACATAAAAATGCCGTTTGGGCTAAAGAACGCTGGAGCAACTTACCAACGGCTCGTCGACTCTTTGTTCGCCAACCAAATCGGTTGAAACATCGAAGTCTACGTCGACGACATGGTCATCAAAAGCCCAGACGAGCAGAAGCTGTTACGAGACGTAGTGGAGACACTACAAACCTTGGAGGGAGCTAAGATGAAGTTAAACCCCGGCAAATGCACTTTCGGGGTAGAAGAGGGACAACTCCTCGGGTATTATGTGACAAAGGAGGGAATCCGGCGGAGCCCAGCCAAGATAAGTGAACTCGAGGAAACGCCTTCGCCTAGCACGCTGAGGGATGCACAAGGCTTGAATGGAAAGCTAACAGCGCTCAACCGTTTCTTCTCCAAGTCAGCTGAAAAAGCCATGCCACTGTTCCATACACTCAAAGGATGCATAGAAAATAACAAGTTCCAATGGACAGCAGAAGCCGAATCGGCGCTACAGAAGATGAAAAAGGCGCTCCATGCACTCCCCACTCTGGCTAGCCCCATACCCGGAGAAATATTGCAAGTTTATCTGTGCGCATCAAGAGACGCCATTTCATCAGTCCTGGTAGTCGAGAGGCAGGGACGGCAGCTCCCGATCTACTTTGTGAGCCGGGCCCTGCTGGGACCCGAAACCAATTACCCATTCATCGAGAAACAAGTGCTCGCCCTAATCTACGAAGCGCGCAGGCTCCGTCGGTACTTCCATGCCCACCAAATAGATGTATTGACTAGCTGCCCGATCAAACAAGTACTCTTGAAACCAGAAACGTCAGGACGACTAGCAAAATGGGCCATAGAATTGGGAGAACACGACATCAGCTATCACCCCAAAGTAAGAATCAAGGTACAAGCATTGGCGGATTTCTTACTCGAAATCCCAGGGGAACTCTAGCAAGAATCAGCCGACACGACACCGCAAGGGGAGTTATACGGGAAGACCAACTAGCAATGGACCCTTTACATGGATGGGGCTTCCAGTAAAGAAGGGTCAGGCGCAGGGCCAATCCTCACCAGCCCCATGGGCGAAGAAGTCACGTATGCTTTACGTTTCGACTTCCGTACCTCGAACAACGAAGCCGAACACGAAGCCTTGCTGGCTGGCCTTAGATTGGCAGTAAAAATGGGGACGGAGCGGGTTATGGCTCGGAACGATTCATGCCTAGCAGCCAACCAAGTCTTAGGGGAATTCGAAGCAAGGGACAAAAAAATGGAGAAGTATGTTAAGGCGGTACAACGAATCACGAGCTCGCTAAAGAGTTCCACAAAAAAGCAGATTTCGAGGGGAAACAACATGCAAGCAGATGCCCTCAGAAAACTTGCATCAACATGTTTCGGGCATCTCTCAAAGGAAGTATTGGTAGAAGTACTAAAAGAAAGGAGTATCGATGAACGCCAGGTTGATTTCCTATCAACAATGCAACCCAACAGGATGACACCCATCATGGACTACTTGCATACGACATACATCCCGATGACCACGGGGAGGCACGAAAAACAAGGATACGAGCCCCCCAATATGAAATCGTAGGGGGAACAATGTATGGAAAAGGCCATATGACTGGATGGCTCAAGTGCATAGATGGTGAGTTAGGGAAGAAGGCTCTAAAGGAATTCCATGCAGGGTTAGCTGGAGCCCATGAGGGAGCGCGGGCGCTCACAGACAAAGTGCTACGCATGGGGCTCTACTGGCCAGACGTAGACCAGGACGCAGTCGAATTAACCCGGGCTTGTGTAGAATGTCAACCTTTCTCGCTGGCACAAGGGGTACCACCATCCAAGTTAACAAGTATAGTCAGCCCGTGGACTTTCTATCAGTGGGGAATCGATATTGTTGGTCCTTTCCCAGAAGCGCGAGGGAAAGTAAAATTCATAGTTGTTGTGGTCGACTATTTCACAAAGTGGATAGAGGCCGAACCGCTGACATGTATCATTGGAAAACAGATAATTAAATTTGTTTGGAAGAACATCATAACAAGATTTAGAACACCCAAAATCTTAATCAGTGGTAATGGTTTGCAGTTCGCCGAAAACCGCTTTAGGGGATGGTGTAGGCAAAGAAAAATAAAGTAGAGATTCACATCCGTAGCCCATCCTAAAGCCAACGGACAAACAGATATGTCCAATAGGATGTTGGTGCAAGGAATCAAGAAGCGGCTAGGCAAAGAAAAAGGTAACTGGGTACACGAGCTACCGGAAGTCCTTTGGTCATATCGAACCATGCCACAGACCAGCATAAGGGAAACACCGTTCAGCCTGGCGTATGGGGCGGAGGCGATGCTACCAGCAGAAATTATGATAGGGTTAATACGAATAGAGTATTTCCAGGAGCGAGAAAACAATGAAAATCTAAGGGAAAACCTGGACCTCCTGGAAGAACGGCGAGAGCAGTCGAGCGTGTGCCAGACCGCCTACAAAAAGGTAGTGGAAAGATACTACAATCAGCGAGTCCGGGAGAAGGCTTTCCAGGTTGGCAATTATGTCCTACGAAAGAATGAAGTTAGCCATGCACATCCCCGTGAGCCAGACGTAGGAGGGACCATACAAAGTAACAAAGGCACACCGCAACGGATCATACTCCCTGGAAACCCCGGAGGGAAGACAAATACCAAGGACATGGAATGCAAGGAACTTGAGAAGGTTCCACTTCTGAGCAATGACAAACCCCTATACAGAAGGGAGGACGACGGCATGACATCGCTATACAGTAGGGAGAACAAGGAAGACATCCCATGGCC